GCTAGTCGGAGACCACTCAAGAAGAGAAATCCCATTTCCAACTTTATTACCCTTTCCCAGGCGTAGTTAAATCCCAGTCTCAGCGCAGTAAATGCCACTTTTCCAGTCCAAAAAAGGCAAATCGCAGTTCCCATTTTATCCCTTTACGACCCTCATGCACTACTATACCGGTTGAGATACCGGTATTCTACGAAGTTTTTTTGACTCGACATCACTGGCGTCAAAATATGGTTAACAAACTTCCCGAGGGCCTTCGCTCGAAACGTCGAAGTTCTCCTTGTATTTTTTAGGCAGTTAATTGGATCCCTATCAAACCGAAGTTTTCTTAAGGTTAACAAAAAGGTATATTTCGGCTCTTATTTACACTGCGAATCTCAAGGAGTTGAATGAACTCCTGGAGCCAAGACCAATAGAGGCATCTTTAAAACACAAGTAAGTGTAGGCGTTAAAATTATCCACTTTATGTATGGTGCCATCACTTGCTGAGTATATTTAACATTTTGGTGTTATGTTTGGCACATCGCAGTCATCGCTCTCATTGACATTCGCTGCAGCAAGCATACTATATATCCAAAGAGCCTGGTTATAAAGCCATGGTGTTAAACTGGTAAAATAGGGCAGAACTTTAAGCTTTTTCAAGGCAATTGCCTCAGTTCTTAACCCATTTTGACAAAGAGCTTCCGCATACGACGAAGACTAACGCCTGTATTCTAAAAGCTCACTCACGCTCACACTCAAAGAGTGGAGGTCCAATCTCAGCTCCCCTTTGAGTGTCAGTGCAGTTTTTGAATAGCTGGAGGGTGAATACTGAGTCACATAGTAATTAAGGTACGAGACAAACCCTCCAGCTATTCCCGAAACAGGGGGAATAGCTTCAAGGGAAGCTTAGAATGAACCTCCAGAGCTTTTAGAATAAAGGCGTAATTCTTTCAAAGTTAGTTTAACATCGTTTTTGGTGACAAGATATCACTTTCGGAATTGATTCAAGGAGCAACTCCTTGAAATCAGAGTAGCCCTGTCAACTGCATGCGTTTAACCTGCGCCGGTGATATTCTAACGATGTTTTGTGAATAACAACCAGTTAAAAAAATTATAAACAACTCATTATAAACTACTTAAGCTGTATCTCTGTCTCATTCTTAGTACAATTGTTGGCAGCAATATTGATTGTTCAGTGTATAAAAGAGAAGTGTATAATACTGAAAAATTTCTCGCATACACTCCGATATAGACCCTGAATCAGGGTGTATATCATAAAATATTAAACGTTTGTACATCAAGTGTTGATGTATATGGTATATATTGCACGTGATGAAAGCCACCGATATTACTTATGCTATGAAATTTGATCTCGGCGACAACAGAATGAACATTTGATTATAATTCACATAAACAGGAATGGAGTTTACTATATGTCGTAATCCGAAGTAGCAAGGTAAGATTGAGATAAATATTGCTTGGCACTTAAATACTTGTAGAAAGAGGACTTAATATGTGTATGTATAGAGGCCGTTTTATTATTGCTTTGAACAAACACAATAAAAATATATCCAGTCACGACAAATGCTTAACCACATGGTCGCTAGTTCACGTTCATATATATAGAAGTCGAACCCATGAACATATTATCCGTGTCGAATGCAAGAATTCAGGGTCTAATTTTGGTCACGGTTCATGAAACAGTCAAGAGCGCTTTGATATCGGTTGATTTACATAGAGAAAATTCGATGTGTGTAGGTTGTGACTCAATATATATCTTGTATAGTTTTGTTGATATTTGAATAACAATGATGCTTCAAACATCACCGGCCTGAACACCTGCTTGCGAGCTAACAATGCGACCACAAAGCATTGCATTGATAAAAAACTAAGCTGTTTTGTGTATTCATTTTCAAGGAACCGAAGGCTCGCTGTACAATATGTTATGTCTCAATACAAACCAAGATTCGTCGAACTGCCAACTATCAAATCAACACTAGCGGTGTGCTAATTATAAATCGTGTCACGATCAGGTCAAAAGACTCGAAACTGAAAATCGAATGATCTTTGATTCGTACCGCAAAACAAGACCCTGAAGCCAAGACCAATCGAGGCATCTTTAAAACACAAGTAAGTGCATAGGGCTTCAAATTATCCATTACAATTATAAATTGTTACTATTGAAACATGGTTATGTATGGTGTTATCACTTGCTGAGTATATTTAACATTTTGGTGTTATGTTACACATCGCTTTCATTGACATTTGCTTGAGCAAGTATATATATCCAAACAGCCTTGTTATAAGCCATGCATGGTGTTAAACTGGTGAAATACGGTAGAACTTTAAGCACTTTCAAGGCAATTGCCTCGGTTCTTAACCCATTTTGACAAAGAGCTTCCGCATACGACGAAGACTAATTCTTTCAAAGTTAGTTTAACACATATAAATCGTGTTTATATTTCATTAAACTCGCGTAAAAATGCTTGTTTAACTTAAAGAGTTCTCAAGTTAAATATTAAAGCCCCTTATATCGCCGTAATGTTTTCACTACTTCACGATGCAACAGATATTTGGAAACTTTTTGTCCACTTTATTTCGCCATTCAGACACTTCACATCATAGTAGGTACATTGTACAAGCTCATTTCCGGACATAAGACAAGTCATTCAGACCAACACTGAGCTTATTAATATCTGTACACACAACTCTTTGAATTGATTGAATATATAAGGTAATGCTATGGTACAATTTTCTGACTATTCGCATCGCCGCGGTACATATATGATGCATGTTATTCGGTATTGGTCTGACATTGGTCATTGGTAAATATGATTTACATGACTCGATGCATTATTTCCAAATTGCCATCAGTTGCAGGTTGAAAAGGGATTTCAGTAAATTAGTATATGGTAGCTCAGGCCTTAACTAGATTTTTAGATTTACCGAGTCGAGTCGTCGGGGCATACATGCTCCCCCAGAAAATGTCTGATTTTCTAAGCCGCTTATAGAAACGCTATTTCCTGCATTCTGGGAGCAATTTTAACAAATGATCAGTAATGATAAACAGTCACACAATGACTATATTATAATTTTATAGTCTTCCAGCATTCTGGGAGCAGTATTAAGAAAAAATCAATCTAATCAACAGCGACAATTGACAATAAAATTATGAGCATTGTTCATGCCGTTTTACTGTAATTTACTTGACATATACAAGACAAAATGCAATGGTGAAATGATTTAAAAATATCGGCAGAGAAAAATGTGTGTCATACCAACCCGTTGTATAATGTACATAATATACCTTGGCTGCCCAGCTCTACTGCATCGTTGTATGACTATGTGGGTAATTGTATTGGCAGTTGGAGTAACTGAATCGGCCTCTTGGCATGCATATCATGGCTCTTTAAAAACGCATAAAAAATGAAAAAAATCGATTGAGATTTGAGATGGGAGCATGCTCATGCACCTTTTTTTTTTGCAACTATAGTAATTTTGAAAAAAAAATTCTATGTCGAAATAAACGCATCAAGAATGTTTGCAAAAAAGTTGTGATGCAATATCGCCTAACATCGAGCTATATCCAACATTATCTTTAGGTCAATGCCAATGGTTTTGAAATGTGAAAATCAATCAACAAACACAAATTTAACAAGGTGCTAGCTTATTGGAAAAAACCCAAACAATAGAGAAAAACAAACCGCAGATATTTCAAACAACAGGCCTGACCTCGAAAGCTCTTTTATGGTATAAATTATATATAAATGTATAAAGATAAATGCATGATATAAATGCGAAATTTTGACAGTTTGCTCAAAAAGACAAATGGAGAAATGTGTCACAAAAAAATTAATTCGTTTTTCTCGTTTATAAACTTCGAGCTTTTAATAGGCTAGATGTTATCGATTTTTGTTTGATAGGTAACATCTGTTGCCTGTATAACACAGACATGTGTATGAAATGGACGATAAAATATCGTGTTTAACAGTTTCCGCAGAGCGGATATAACAGCCCGCCCATTGCATCGAGTAAATGTATTGTCGAGTTTTCTTAAAGGAACTTTAAACGGTGAATATAAACAAAGCATATTTTGTATGGGAAAATTATTGAGCCGCTATTGCGCAACTACAGCTATTGTGTTCGATAGAAGTTTCGCATTTCACTGTTTTATATGAAATCTGCGACGACGTATACTACTAGAGTAAACAGTGCGAAAAAAATGTGAAATCCATACTATGTCTATGAGATTTGCAATTGCACCACTAAACCCATAGTGTATCCATACTGTTTCGATTTTGGAAATATACAATTATTATGGATAATCAAAAATCCATTCTATTTCCAGTCAAGGTCCATATACAATTTCCATTCTATGGATTTTCATATTTTTTTCCAGTGAAAATGAATCACTGAATATCTCAAATAATCATGTATCAAATACCTTACAAATGTTAAATATTAAAAGTATTTATTATTCAAAAATATATAATTATTTGAATGAATAGTTTCCCTGGAACATCTGGGACGGGTTGTTCAAAGATGGATTTAGCGCTAACCCTGGGTTTGCGAACATCTGCAATTGAATCTGTTTATTTCAAAATACTGGAAAATAAAACTTCTATTGAATCAGACAAAAATTGTGGAAAAATATTTGCATGTTTATAAGCAAGCTGTTGGGAAGTGCGATTTTGAAATTTTCGTTAACTGGTCCCTGAAATTCTTCGTCGCCTTTGTCGGTTTCCTCGCATTATTACAAAAATGTACAATAAAAAAATCTTCATGACACCCTCTCCTCCAGTTCGATGCTGTACACAATTGCGACACAAAGTTCGGTAATTTAAATGGAGGTTATAGAAGCACGATAATTTTACAGGAAATTCATCACAAAAATTGTATAGAGGATAAAGCCTAGTTCTCATTCATCGCAATCTGTCACCGACGATCGGCGACGCTTATCGCCGATACTCGCCGAGCGCGAATGCACGAAAGTTCTCATACATCGGTGATCGTCGCAGATG